GCTCTTCTTAACGCACCCCAGGATCCCATTGGCCTTCTTGGCCACGAGGGCAACTGCTGCCTCATGGTCAACTTGTCGTCCACCATGAAGTGAGGTTTGGCTTTATACAGGGAGGAAGCGAGATTAATATTGCGTTCTGCCAAACATTGAGCAAATTGTGATGTTTTCACCCTCCTCCGCGGTTTCCCCGTCGCAGCGAGCTGAAGGGCAGCCAGTTGAGCGCGCTCCCTGCCACCAGCTCTGGTCAGCAGTGCCACAAACAGCCACCACAGGGCTGGGTCTGCCACTCTGGGGCAAAATTTCCAACGAGGATGACAACTTCATCCCTGGTAATGAAGCTGTGCACATTAACAGACATAGGCTGCTAGCAGGCCAAGCACTTAGTTATCAGTCCTGGCTTGGTTTAGAAAAAACACCGGCTGATTTATATTAATATTGCCCTTGCTGAGGAAGACACGTGACCTGTGGAGGGAATAAAAAAAATCCTACACAAAAGGAGTCTTAATACTGTGTGTGCGCACCTGCTCCTTCAGGATAAAAGCAAGCACACTTGAATATAATGCATCATTAAAATGTTAAGGGACATTTGATGCCCACAAAGAAACCTTTAACATTCTCCATACTTGGAACATTCTTTTTGTCTACTATATGCCACATATTCACCTTTTTCCTTCCTTTATGGCTAAGGAAATGAGGACATTTGCATGAAAGCAAAAGCTTAGATGCTTGCAAGCTTGCCTATTCCTGCTTATATTTTCCTCCTCTGAAGGTATGAGATCCTTCTGTAAAAGATACTGCAATTGCTTTCAACCCGGCGATGAATACAGAGGAGGAACTTCATTTTAAGTCCTTGTTTTTATGCAAATATTCCTAGTGATAAAGCATAGGTAAAATATGTGGTTCTGCTTTGCAGAACTACTGCTGAAAGCAAAGCAGCACCACAGAGCGAAGAGGAGTTTGAACTTATCTTAATAGGAAGGGAATTTGTGTGTTTTCCGTAAGAGATGGCAAATGCCTCCAAATGACATTGTTAAAACAAATGTATGGATATTATCTCCCTATCTTACTCTCATCAGTGTCATCAGCATCACTCTAATGTGAAAAGGTCTTACCCAGAATTGTGGCACCATTCCCCTGGTATCTTTCTAAATCCAGGAAAATACAGTCTTTTTTTTTCCTCAAAAGATTTGGTAGTCTGGTATGTTCCTATAATCCACAGCAGTGATTCTGCCTTGGGCTATCTCCCCTTAGTTTTCCAAGCTCAGCGATAATTGACCAACACCTGCTGAAAAAAAAAATAAATAGAAAATATTGGCATTGGAAGCACTATGGAATTCTCTGGGAATTCTCCGTGTCTTCACTCACCACCAGCGCGCGAAGGTGCCGCGACTCCCTCC